TGTTTTTAACAACAAAATATATTTTTAGTTTTCAGGGTATGATGACAGGACAGGCCTGAACTGACTGATTGAGCTGAACCTCTCAGTTTTATGGCCCATTTATTGTTGGCCATATGTTTTTCCTACTCCTTCCTTTCTTTTCTGTCTCCTCTTCTTCCCCATTTTTCTTCTTCCTCTTTTTCTTTTCTCGCTTCTTCTACTTCTGTTTCTTCCCTATGATAATTGTTATATTTGCTACTAATAATATTAATTATTAATTAATGCCTTATCAGTCATGAAAATTCTAAGACTGGACTCCAGCGCTTCCATCTCCTGGTGCAACCTCAGAAGACACTGTTTGTGACTCATCCGTGTCTGAACGGCCGTAGCATCAATCATCATTACTTATTCACAAAGGTCAAGCTCCTGAGGTGTCCCTGTAATCATGGCGGTGAGTTCGCCTACAGGCAGGGCCGGCCCTCGTTCTATTTCAATATTTATTCAAACCTCGTCTGGATCGTGGTTTTCCTCATCAGTTTATTTAGTCGGGAAAATGTTGGAATACATTTACAGTCATTTTCTTTATCCATCTGTAACGACAGCTGCTAAACCCGAACACCTACAGTGAGACTGTGAGCATGAGTGACCTAAAAAGATATCTATATATAGTTGGAGTGATCCCAGCCACAGGTGAAGAGAATGCCATTGTATTTTATTGTCATTGATGCTTTTATTGAATTATTTAAATTCACCACTGGTGCTATTTTAGATGATTTTGAAAGTTGACCGAATACTGTACTTATTACACTTAAATATGAAATAACTAAAAAGTAATTTGTTTTTTTTGTATGCATTTAAAAGCATGGAGAGTAGTTCCACTGACAAAACCTACTGTAGCATAAAAAAATAAAGGCAATATTTTACATCAAGTTGCTGCTCAAGCTGATTTAGGAAACATGTCTTTTTAGTACCAATCAGGATTTTTTTTTTCTTTTGTTACTTCATTGAATGTTTGTAGCACAGAACGAACATCTGTGCAAATTTTATTCTGATTTTTATTTTAAAATGACTCTAAGTATGTCTTTTTGACTGTTCCTTTTCAGGAGTGACTTGCAATAAATGATTAAGTTCTGAATTAAGTCTCTACATTTTAGACAAAATAACACGACAATGGAACATCTTCAGATCTTAACATTATTTAAGTAATATTCTGACTGTACTCATCAAAATATTACACGGTAAACCCCAAAAAAGGGGTTTTTGAAAGTTTGTCTGAAGTCGTAAAGTTTTAGGTGGGCATTTGAGGCGCGCACCTGAAACGTTGATTTATTTATTTACGTTCCCGTGCCCTTTTAGATATTCCTAATGTGTCCTAAGATGTCGTGAACAAAAATTATAACGCTAAATTTCACTATTTTGATTAATCCATCCATTTATTGACCTGAACGAAGTGTTCGACCGCGACTTTCCCTGTGATTCCTTCCTGAAAGTCTAAACTGAGGGCAGAAGTCTCCCTTGAGCTTCCGTCGCGTTTGCAGAGGCACGTGACGAGGTTTCCAACCTAAACACGAGTCACATGATTCGTTGTTTGCTTTCCAACATGGCTGCCGTGTGTTTTTTGTTCCCCGCGGCGTTATGTCTCCTCAGTGGGGCTTTAACGTTCCCTTTAAATCAGGAAAACAAACGTTCCACCGCCTGTGGATATCAGGTGAGTTTTTCCACACACTTCCACAGCCTTAAGTTTGGATTTTTCTATTTAAACCAATATTATTGACTTAAATGACGTTGAGTGGCCAAACTGAAAGTGTACGCTTCCTTGTGTTGGTTCCAGTTTCAGCTTCACCATCACGCACGATGTTTGGTGAAGCTTTTAGAAGTTAATTTATAAGATTTAACGTCATGTTGCTGCTGAGTTAAAATATAGGTTAAAGAAAAATAAAGCGACGTTTTTGGCGCCAAATTCAATCATATTAGAGGTAGTTGTTACTCCCACGGTTTTAGCTAAAGTGAAGACCTACTAGCTTATGGTTAGTAGTTAATAATATATGGCTGGACTTGTTAAAGAAGTTAACGTATGTTAACCGTGTGTTTGCCTGTGTGTGTGTAGTCATGTCACCCCACCAACGCCAACATGTTGAATGTTCACCTGGTCCCACACACCCACGATGATGTCGGCTGGCTCAAGACCGTAGACCAGTACTTTTATGGAGGTCAGTGTCTCTCTGTCTGTCTCTATTTATTTTTTAAAAATTAAAAAAAAAAATCTGTAAGACTGATTATCATCTTCATGTGGTTGTCAACTAGGCTTTAATATATTTTGTATGTGTGTGTTCTTAAAGCTCGTAATGACATTCAACATGCTGGGGTGCAGTACATCCTGGACTCTGTGGTGGACCAGCTGCTGAAGAACCCGGACAGGAGGTTCATCTACGTGGAGACGGCCTTCTTCTACCGCTGGTGGAAACAGCAGAGCTCCAGTATGCAGGAGACGGTCAAACAGTTAGTAAACGAAGGTGGGAGTGAATCAATATTGAATTTTAACAACTGTGAAAAACAAACTGGTCTATTCTGATTGTGATTAACCATTAACTTCAAACGGTCTGAAAATGTTCAACTTCTTTAAAATACTTGTTTCTCTTCCTGTTTTCGTATGGTGTTGTTTAGTCACTTCTGAACGTCAGCTGACATAAACGCCTGATTCGATTGGTCCTTATTTAAAAATAAGATCCTTCGTTCAGTTAAAAACACTAACCCCTTCATTCCTTTTCCTTTTTCCAGGTCGTTTAGAGTTTGTGAACGGCGGCTGGTGCATGAGCGACGAGGCCACCACTCACTACAGCGCCGTCATCGACCAGATGACCATGGGACTGAGGTTCCTGAATGAAACCTTCGGTCCTTGTGGACGCCCTCGTGTGGCTTGGCACATTGACCCTTTCGGTCACGCTCGTGAACACGCTTCAATGTTTGCACAGGTACTGAGCCACTAATGGAATTGATATTATAATGAATGTAATGATAATAATGGACCTGGAACCTGGAAGTCCTGTAGGTTAAGTTTGATTTTTTTTTTT